CAGATGCGGATCACAGGGGGTCACATTTGGGTCTGGGCTCAGGACACACACAACCTATTGAACTTTTGTGGCGGGGCTCCTCAGTGGGGCGTAGCTCTGACAAAACTTGATAGCGCAGAGGATTTGATAGTATTGCAAGGAGTAGCCGAGGCAGGGGTTTCAAGTTCTTAGCTGTAAGCTGGGAGGAATGCTATAGTACAAGGATTTCCTAGAGTCTCGAGACTTTGAGTTTCCTGAGGGTTTTGCTAGAGATGATAAAATCAGCTGCAGCTCGGAATTTAATCTTTAATCTAAGTGAACTTCGGAGTGAAAAGTCTTAAACTAAGATATAAAATCGGATAGATAGCCGATGGAATTTTTAAAAGGCGCTTTATGACTTCCTAGACCCTTACAGGATCGTGCGGGCGGGTGCTTCCTCAACGTATACCATTTATAAATCGCTGAGGGTGTAGCTGAACATCAGCAGAAGTTAAACGTTGCCCGCTGATATTCATATATGTGTGGGCAAACAGCAAACAGAAACAGAAAACAGCAGCCAGCTGAGTAGCGCTAAGCAAACACAAACACTCGAACAAATATGGCGACCGCACAAGCACACAAACACACATGCATAACACACATACACACACTCATACAATATGCACCCACAGACACACAGACACACACACATATGTGCATTTACGCGTTGATTTCTCAAAACCAAAGTCAGCCAGGCATGAGACCAACAACTAGCAACAAGCCAGAAGCAACAACCAGATGCGACTGGGACTGGGACTGGGACTGGGTGACTCGGCGCACAGAACAGTGTGCCATTGGGGCTACAGTGGCTACAGTGGCTACAGTTTGTGGCAGGCGACGCATGGCCTTGTCAACAGAGTACCAGCGGATGGGCCAAGGGATGGGTGACGTGGCACACTGGGTGAAGAGCCACAGATAGACAGCCATAAATATGAATGCATGCCCGCCGAATGGTGTGTGGAGGGAAGGGTGGGGGGCCAGCTTGTTATTTACAGCCCGGTCTCAGATCTTGTGGCATAATTTAAGCACCTTGTTTAGCCACTGTTTATGGTGGTGCCATGTCACTTGGACCGACGACCAGCGCTCATCTCTGTGGCAATGCTTTTGAGGTCATGAGGTCAATGGTGGTCATGCCACACGCCACACAGCATACAGCATACAGCACACAGCACACACACACACACACGCAATCGTACTGACGTACTGGCGCGATGCCACTTTAAATAATTTATAAATGCGACAAATGACAAACTTGCCCATAAAGTTCAGCCACATCGCATTTGAAAGGGATTTACTTCCGTCTCCCTGACTGGGGGATACTCTCCGGGACACGCCCGTGCGATACTTACGCAAATCAACAAACAAATCAACGCGACAAAAGCTGAAATCCTTTTCGGTAGCTTCCTCAAAACGATTTCCAGCTGCTGTCAGCAGAAATACTTTTTTGGCGGTGCGTCGTGATAGACAAGGGGGAGAGAGGGCGAGGGAGAGAGCAACGTATGAAATTGTGAAATAAAAACCGACGCTACCTCGCGTTCCTTTCTTCTCCACCAGTATGGGGCCATGCGGGTTGGGGTGTTGACTGCCTGGCATTATGCAAACAAGACAGATCCTTGGCAGAAACCAGGAACCCTTTCCCCCTCCCAGCCCATACAGGCATCTCCATTTGCGTGCCTTGCGCTCTCAACGCGTCTGGCTGTCGCGTTTTTGAAGTTGAGAATTTGCAAACACTGGAACACGTCGAGGCCACCCGGCTGGGTCACAGGTGGCAGGGCAAGGAAAGCACCTGGTGTGTGTTAACGCAGAGTGCTGGGGCTGAGGGGCACCACTTTTTTGGCAGCTATAATTTCGAAGTGACAGCAAGGAATATATTCCGCAAGTATTTCTGAAGTCTGCCATCAAAGTTTATCAGCAGTTAAAGCAACACACAGGAAAAAGGGTTCTTTAGCAGATATATATCTGGAATACTTGGAGAAGGCAGAACTGCATGATTTTATTTATCACTAATTCGACAAGCAACTATTTTGGGATTTATTTATCAGGAACTTATTAAGCAATGTGAATAAGATAAATAGCTAGAGATTGCAGGAAAGGCCTTCGATAAGTTGCATTAGTTCTTTAGTTATTAGTTTCATAACAGAGATTCTTTAACATTTATTCAATAAATATTACCTAAAATTAAAGCAGTGCCTCCCATTCCCCGTTTAAACTGCATTAATCGGCATCGTGAATCGCTCAAGGCGGGCGTATCATATTGATCAGGAGGCCATTAAATATGCATTTGCTGATATCGGCTAAATCCGCAAACGAAAACAGCTTATGCGGCATTTGTCGCCCCCTTGGAGCGTGTATCTGTGTGTGTACTCTCTCTCTCTCTCTCCTTTGGTGTGTTTGTGCCGCTGTCTCTCGCCAGCGGTGAAAGTGTGAGTGAGCCAGTGCGATTGGCGGCGTGTGCGGTTGACAGTCGTAAAGAAAATACATGCAAATCTGAAAAGCAAAGTTAAAATCAAACAGCAAAATGCCACAAGCCGCAGCTTTAAATACTTTCACTCATCGATCAGACATATAAAGAATATTATCCAGACAGATCTGATATGTGTGGCTCCAAGTTCTCCAGAAATGTCTGTCGATGAACATATATTCGTACAGCTACCCTTTCTGCACTGCCAGTTAATGCCATGCAACCCCTTTGAGAGGGTATAAGAGAAAAGAAAAGCAAACAAAACAATAGAATTTAAATGATTTTAATGCGACCATTGAATTTTATTGTAGTCGACGGATGTCGAGGCATTTTCGGCGCTCGGTTATGAGCTACACGGGTGCCATATGAATACCAACCATTCGAGCACTCTCCCCTCCCCGCCGCATACCCACCACGCCATAGGGATCCTATTGGCCCCATGGCGGCTTTTCATTCGCACTGACAATAATAATAATTGTCAATTGCAGCAGCTGTCGCAGAGCCTCGCACGCAGGGCTCCCACACTTTTTTCATATTCAATTTCAAATGAAATTTTCATGTCACACACCAGAAAACACACACACACACACACAGACAGTGTACGCCTCCCTATTCAGGATGCCTTTTCAGGATTCATTTTGGTGTAAATTTCACGTTAGCTCTTTGCCAACTTAATTCCAGGGAAAATCTTTTGCATGCTTTTGAGGATGGCAGCTGTTGTAGTTTTTATCCACCATTTTTTGCACATGCCTCTGAAGATATGTGCGGTAATGTGGGTGCGGGCTGAAGCTATTTGGGTATTAAGTTTGAGCTGCTTTGCATTTGAGCAGCTTACATGGCAGGTATTTGCATATTAGCCTGGCCAAAGCATAATTTGATTAGAAATAACTTCAGGTTAGCAGTGCTTCGAGCACTAGCACAAGGCGGATCCCTGGCATTTCGCCTTATTCGGGGAATTCGGCCATAACGTGGCCGTATACTTGTGTATAAAATTCAGTCGAGCTTTTATATGCACGCTCTGCAGCTGGTTTGGTTTATCAATTTTGGTCTGGTTCCGGTTGAGCTTTAATTTCATTTGTGCGCCAGAGGCTGCATGGCCTAACTGCATCACTTTGAGTGCTGTCAGACACCGAAACTTTGGCACAGTGCAAATGGTAATGACATGTGCTCTGAGCCGAGACCAGACCCCAGACCAACCCACAGACCACCCCACAGACAACAGACAACACACAACACAACAGACCCCACCCCACCCCACCCCACACAAACAACGAAGATAATAGGCACATAACAACATTATCATTAGCACAGCAGAGGCAGCACATTAAATTGCAATTGCTGCATGTAGCGTTGGGTGCACGGGGCCCCTCCAATCGGAGTATGCAAATGCATGTGTCTAATTGATTTTGTTGCATCAGGCGACAAAAGCCTGCCCTTGGAAGGCACATGGCGTGTGCGTTGCCAGTTGCACTGGCCCCAGCTCGAAACGCATTTTAAAGCCGTCTTAAAACATTGCCAGCATGTGTCCCAGCTACCCAGCTGCCCAGCTGCCTGCTTACTTCATTCACCTTATGAGTGGCGCCTCTGTGGCAGTGGCTGTGGGTGTTTTGTTCTGTTTGCTCACAAATTTCATTTTGATGAAGCCAATGTGTGCTCAGCAGCCGAGAGTTGGCCTTAAACTAGCTCAAAAGCCCCAGCTGAGTGGCTGGCTGGCTGGCCAAGGGTCCCAGTCTCCCAGGACAGACAGACAGCCGCCTCGTCATTAGCATATGTAGTTGAGGCTCCCCAACAAGACAAGCAAAAAAGTGTACACCACTCCACGGCCACACCTACAGCACGGCAGCACACACACACACAGAGCCGCCCCGGACCTGGAAGGCGGTTTGAGTTGAGCTGACAGGCGAGCTGTCAAAGCGGATTTTAGAGCACTCGCTGCCAGGTAAACAAAAACAGGGCACAACACTCGAAAGAACAACGACACAAAGATACTCTTTCGACTGAGACTCTGCTCCAACATACCCTTGGTGATGGGCCAAAGAACTACATATTATATATATAGCATAAACCAATGACAAACTAATTGTAAATTCCAGTAGACCCTTTGGCCAACATGCAAATGCAAACACCTGTCATGGGCTGAGTGTTGGCCAAAAGGGTTTAACTACGTATCCCACTTGTTTCTGTTTCTGTTTTTGTTCGTATTGCTGTTGCTGTTGCTGTTGCTCCTGCTGTTTCTGTGGCGGTTTGCCCTTGGCCAAAATGCATTGTTGTCGTTGCTGGCATATTCACATAGCTGCCGCCGCTGCGGCTCTGCGGCCACAATTTTGACAAGCGCCCTGCTCGCCCGTCCGCAGCGAGGGGCAACATTTGGGACCGCATCGAGGGACCAAATACCTTGTTAGCATTTCATATATGCACTGCATATGCGTAAAGTTAATTTATCCTAATGCAGGCCTTTGTCTATGTTCGAGGGCCGTACACACCAGTGATAAATGTGGCCAAGTCCTGATGAAAGGCACAGGACAGATGTTGTTGTTGTTGTTGGGTTCTCTGTTTACTTGGGACACCTCTGCCTAGGGTGACTTGGAAAACTGGTTGAATATTGTGTGTATTTAGTGTCTTTGAGGAGGTGTCTTGTTTACAGAGCAATAAAGTCCTTTTTCTCCATCACCTCGGCGGGATTGCCATCATCATCGACCAACAGATGGACGTCCGAATATTTGATCTTGTCCAGCTCCGCATAGATTCGATCATGCAGGAATATCTCCGGGTACTAAATAAAATAGATTATTTTATTCACTGGGGATATCAAAGACTTACCATTTTGGACATTTTCCAGCAGTCAAGGGCACTCTTGTTGCGATTCAAGCGCAAATTAATGATGGCCAAATAAGCCCAGACATCGGGCACAAATACTTCCACTTCGGTGCAGCGAGCCAGATACTCAATGGCGTCCTCCAAGCGATTCAACTAAAACACCAAAGCGCTGAAGAACCAATTGCAAATTAAGTGCAGGTTGAAGCTTACATAGTACAGGGCCAATCCCTTGCCATAGCTGAGCAGGAAGTTCATCTTTTTACAGTGCTGCGGACACATGTCGTAGGCCTGGTTGGCCAGCTCATATTCCCCCCGATCGAAGGCCAGTTGGGCGAGGCGCATAAAGCTCACCTTAAAGAATTCCTGCTCCTCCTCCTCAGTGACGGTTAGCAGCTCTTGAAAGAAGGCAATGGCTTCGTCGAATCGCCCTCGCGAGTACTCCACATTGCCATTGATGTGGGCCTGATAGTGGCGCTAGAAACGGGAGTATTTGTGGCAATTATCTGGAGTCTGTAACTCTATGCAGATCTTACCATCAAATTTCCAGTGTCAGTTTGATTCGTGGGAAAGAAGCGCACCTGGAAGTCGTTGTCTATTGGCCCCTGCAGAAATTTAAGCGTGGTCGTCACTAGATACACTTCAGTCGGCGTGAAGCTCGACTGGATCTCGTTGAAGATAATCTCGGCAAAGCCATAGGCGCCCATCCGAGCAAACGTCGTGAAGACCGGATAGAACTTCAGGTTCATCATGGTACTGGATCTGCTCATCTCAAACTCCTCGGGCAGGAAGAGCTCGAAGAGCGGCACCGGAATGCCGGCGAGATTCTTTCGCGGCACTGAATAGAGATTCTCGAACCGCAAGCGGGTAAACTCCATGCCCGGCAAGTAGTCGTGCCTCTTGTAGTAGCAGTACAGCAGGACACATGCGTCCAGATCCAGGCTGTTCTTGCTCACGAATACCCGCAGACTCTCGATCATGCTGGCATACGCCTGCCCAGTCGACTCCTCGTCCTCCGCTTTCAGATCCAGCATGTAGTCAATGTACAGCTTGCCCAGGGAACTGGTAGGGGAGATATCTAGCTCATGATTGAGCCCTACTTCTGAGTTGGTTTGACTCACGGAAAGTATTCCCCAACCCAGCCGCCGCCAGTGGGGTTCTTAAAGTACCTTGAGGCCTGTTTGAACTTTGAGTTCTCCAGGTTGTTCAGGAAGTTGTAGAAATTGAAGAGCAGCTGGTGGGAGTTGTTGTCCCTGAGGTCTTCGAAGATCTGCCCGGCCAGGGTCGTCTCCCCAATGAGGCACATGAGACGCAGCTCCTCCATCAGGTGCATCATGTGCAGCTGCTCGTACTCAAAGTTCACCACACAATTGCAGACACTCTCCCAGCTGCAGGCGGTCAGAATCTTCTCGATGCGCTCCATTAGCTCCTTGTACATGTGGGTCAGCATCTCCTACAGAGAATTTGTGTATAGTTTAAATTCCTGCTGAAGCCCAGAACCTACTCACCCTGAACTCAATGTTCGTCTTGGTTGGCATGCGAATGTTGAAGTCACAGCCGCAAATTTTGAGCATCAGATTGTTGAGGTTCGCCAGCTGACAGCAGAAGTAGTCGTGCCCCTCCACGACGTTCTTCAAGTCCCGCTTCACAATGAACGCAATCATGTCCGATATCAGATCGTCAAAGGAGCGATATAGTTCCAGTATCAGATTCTCATCATCCTCGGCCTCGTTCAGGAACGTGTTGTCGAAGCAGCGCAGCAGCTTGGCCCTCTTGAGTAGGTTCTCGTTGTACTTGTCCAGGTTCTCGTTGCGCTGAGCAATTGACTGGAAGAAGCAGATCTTGACGGTGGAAAACATGGGACCCATATCTTCGGAACTCCGCTTTAATGATTGCCTCTTAGATTCCCTCGAAAAGGGTTTCAGAGTGCTGGCAAAGCGGCAATAGTTGACTGGCAAAGGCAAGGAAATTCAGCTAAAAGTCTCCTCGAATAAAATCCTAAATATACTTGCCGTCTGGATAGCCAAAGATGCTGGGATTAATCACACCCTCGTACAGCACATTAGAAGGGGTCTCCTGGTACAGCTGGAGCACCAATTCGTAGCTATTGTGAACGACAGCGGCCTCAAGGATGTGGCGCATCTGTTCGTTGAGGACGTAGCGGTGCATGGAGTTGTTGATGAGAGCCAGGTCCGAGAAAATATCGATCGCATTGCTCCTAAAGTCGACATCCTTTTCCCAAAGCAGCAGCCGGAAAACGCGCGGCAGCTTAACGCGAATATTGGTGTCCATTTGATTGTAGCTGAAGTTCTGGAAGGGATTGATATCCCGCTTGATGTTCTCCCACACAATGCTCGTGTTCTGGTCGCTGATGACCTCCGACCCGAACCCGTAGAAAGTGCAGAACGGTACCACCTGGTGCACGCCCCTCTCGTCGGGCTCTCGCGACCGGAAGGATATGCTGAGGCCCAGCTCGGAGGCCTGCTTGTGCAGTTCCTCGGGCACATTGTAGATGGACTCGAGCGTAACGAATGCCAGGTTGGTGAAATTGAACTCCTTGAGGATGGGCAGGATGGAGTACATGTGCCATATGGTGCAGGTGGTCGTCTTGCCGCCGGGTGCGCCTTGCAGCTCCGGATATAGATAGACGCTGATATCGCTGATAAAGCGGCGCCGCTGAAACAGCTGCAGCAGATCACAGTGACCGCGGGAGAGCAACTCTAAGTGCGCCTCCGTAAAGCCTCCCTCCTCAGATCAGCCTCGTCCCAAGTCAACTCGTCAGGACGACCGTCTACGCTGGTTTCAATACCCGGACTGACCTCGGGTACGGGTACGGGTACGGGTAATGCCGTGTCCATGTAGTCTCCGATCAAATCTAGTTCTGCTGTCCCAATCGAGCCATCGGTCTGCATCGGCAACTTCTTCACTGCGCTCTTCCTGAGCCTGGGCACCCGCTGGTAAAGGGTTATCACCAAGGGACTATCGCTGAACACGTTCATATCCTCGATGTCGTCCTGCATCACACCCATGGCAAAGACGGGCTTCTGGATGCCGAACTCGTGCTGGTATATAATCGTCTCCGTGGTGTACCGCTCCTGCATCTTCTGCAGCGTGTTCTTGGCGTGGTACAAGTGCAGCTCCAGCGGATGCTTGGACTCCGGCAGCACGCTAATTTCGTTCAGCTGGATATAGAGGAAGACCCTAGGTGGCTTCGGCCGCACCAAGGTGTCCACGATGGAGCTCTTGACGCTGGTTGTGGATGATGAAGATTTCTGCTTCGACATTCGCGAGGCGCGCCCCAATGAGGTCTTGGTTGTTCTGGCCTTTTCCATTGTTAAAATAAAATATAAAATAGCTTGTGAAATATTTTCGGTGTTGAAAGGTATGACGTTGGTTCCTGCGTATCTATGGGGAAACTATCTTACATCCGAAATCTTTTTCTGTCCCCCGAAATGTATTTAAATACGCCACACCCAAACCCTTTTTGTTTAGATAGGGCCACTCCTTTTAGCAATCGTCTGAGTATCTTTTATGCACAAAAATAAGGAAAATGTTTTATGGATTCGGATGCCGACGCCGCGGGATTCTTAACAATAAACACTTCAACAAGTTGGCTGCCTCTTTTCTCCCTCCAAACCCACAGACGTTCTGCCATTTCGCTCGAGACTCTGCCTTGAGATTCATCTGGAAATGTGTACTGGCTCTGACTCTGTAGGCTTTATGGCTCCCAGACATATAAGTTTTATTAGACACGGTTGGGTCGTAAACCATATTTCGGCAAAGTGGTAAAAAGCGTGGGCCACGCTGCGGCGGCGGCAGCTTGAATTTTATATGACAGCTGGAAAATTAAATTTTGTATAAATGTTTATTGGCAGCTGCACCTTGAGATCTAATCAGACATTCTGCTGGGCCTCCAAGTAAAATAATAATAAGAACATTAGAAAACTCAGACTTTATCCCACGACTACTGTGATTTTCCTTTTATATATATTCTCCATAAGAACAGGACAATTAAATGCCATGCCACTGTCTCGCAATTAAATGCAGTCTGCTAAAGACGGGTGGAAAACAAATTGAATTGGTTGCTGGCAAACTAACAGCAAAGAAAGTCAATTTATTTGTTATAATTTCCATTCTCTTTGCTGCTCTACACTGCCCACTTTTCTGGTCTTTGTTTTCTTTGGTGGAAATGAATTTTTAAATTAAACTTTTAAGCAAAGTTTGCACATAAATGTGCGCGCACACATCAAGGCAACGGGTAACAAAAAAAATAAAACGAAACGAAATAAAACAAGAGAGCAAAAATTAACACTTGACCTGTAACTTCTGCAAACCATAAATGTATGTATAAAAATATTGCAGATTTATACAAATATAAGTAAGGCTCTGCAAATGACGGAGGTGGAGGAGTGGTCCGGGCACTGCGTAAACTTATGCCATATATTGCATTTATTGCTTGAAATATTATTATACTCGGTACTAATGGGTTGCAAGTGTATATATCGTTCTTGAAGATGTATGTAACAGGTAAAAGGAAGAATTTTAAATATAAAAATAAGCTGTTTCTGTTATGGATCAACTTCAATACCCAGCTGCTAGATGGGATATTACCTAAATTTTCTAGAATAAATATCAGATATAGAAACAAAGATATTTGAACTAGATTTGTATCTAAATTTTATAAATTTCAAAATATAATTATGATCTGTATTTTGTATTATAAAAATTAAAAATAAGAAGTTTTAAACAATTTATTTAAAAAAACAAATTTTAAATTTAAGTTTTTGTATACACCTTTTCGACTTTGATTTTTTTTATTTTCCTAGATCAAATAACTCCTCAGAACTGGGTATTTTTTAGTCGCAATGATAACCATAAATGGCCTTCATATTTGTTTTAATGTGGGTCAGGCTTCAGCAGATGGAATTTGCATAGCGCACTTTTCGGCTGGACGAGTCTGTCCCCCGGTGCCCACTCAAGATTCCGTGTGCGAATTTCTTGGATCCCGCTGGGCTCCTGCCGAGGCTCCAGTGCCAGTGCCAGTGTCAAAGGAAGCAAACTTAAAATGCAGCGCTTCCAACTTTAATATAACTTAATCCTTTTTGTGGCGTCTATGCACACACTCTGCCTCTCCCTCCATGTCCGCTTGTGTGGGTCTGTGTGTGTTGTAACTTACGAATTATGGCGTTAATACCACTGTGTGCTTATGAGACCGCTCTGTAAGCATGTGTGTGCGATGCAGCTCTTGTTACTTTAGCAAGTTGACTTTGGGGATCATCATTAGAGAGAGTGTGGGTGTGTGGGGATGTGTCTGTGTGTGTGTGTTTGCCAACATGCAGCTTGTGGTTTGAGTTTCTTATGTTAAATGCCTGACGACGTCAGGGCTTAGCTGCAGAGGCGTGCAACAAAGGGAGTTATTTGTGGAAAGAATGTTAATTATAGCTGAATGCAGTCAGACTCATTCGAGTAGCAATTTTCCCCTGAAAATAAGTCTGCACAAATCTGAGACTTTGAGGGTTTTCATTTGCTCTTATTTTACCCGATTGCTTAAGAACAATACCCAAGAGGAGTTTTTATTTCAAAAATCCCATTCATAAAATCAATCGAAACTAGTCTGCTCCTCGTGGGAATGTACCCATCTGATGTTCTAATATCTCTTATTTTGATCATCAAAATTGAAGTTTATTATCATTCTGCAGTATCTTTTGCATTAAAGCTAATACTGTGCATAATAAATCTACCCCTTTTGCATTCAGAATATCTGACGGAGGGGAAAAAATGTCTAAAACCGCAACAAAACCAGATACACACTGATACACAAGCCGGTAATAGTACTTGTACGACAACCTGTACCCGTGGCACTGTCAGAGTGTCAGAAACAGCACCGCATCAGGAGCATTACTGGCATCAGCCAGTCAAGAGCCCGGGAAGAATGAGTATCTTCCAGATACACACACACACACACACACACACACATAGAGAGAGAACATTGCAAAATGCTGAAAAAGGAATTTGCAAAATGTCACGTATGACGTTCGTTGGCAACTAAGACGGAAATTTACCACTAAATGACGCCCAGGTTGAGTGTGGGGATGGAGCTGGAGATGGGTCTCCTCGACTGCTATCACTGGGCATAGCAAAGCCCCAAATGGGAGTTGAGTGGGCACAAGGTGGCACGGGACCGACCTCAGTGCTCGATGATGTGTAAAACGGAAGGCAGACAAGTTACGGCAAATTATGACAAAGTTTTCCGTAAGCAGAGCAAAACTCTTGCTAAAAAATCTTTCCTGCAAATGAGTGCATGGAAAGTGCAGAAATTCTCATGCTCGCAGAAACCGAGACCGAGAGAGAGACAGCTGAATCACGAACTGGAGTTAGGCAAGCAGTTGAGAAGCTCTAACTGCCCGGGAATCATGCGATTAAAGTTTTGCTGGTTGAGATACACAAAGAGACGGCAGAGCTGCGATGTGATGTGATTAGAGCTAATTCTGCCATGCAAATTTAATTTTGTTGTTTTCGCGATATTTTTGTTTCCAGAACAAGAGAAATTTTCCAACTTTTGGCTCCGAAATATGTCACACTCGCTGCCAGGGCACGCCTCAGTCGAATGAGTACGGTTTATTTGCATCCGTTGGCGGCAGCATGTTCACATACCCGTTCCAGCCCCCGATATCGCTGCCATTGGTCATGTATCCGTAGTTGTAATGGACGCCCATGGCTGATTGGAGTTGATGCTGCTGCTGCTGCTGCTGTATCTGCTGCTGTTGCTGCTGCAGCTGCAGCTGGTGCTGCTGCTGGTGCTGCTGCTGGTACTGCTGCTGTTGTTGCATCTGCATGCCGTACCCCCTGTTGTTGCGCGCAGCAATGTTGGGAGCACTAGACGATGCAGGGCATTGCGGTGGATAACCACCGGGTATGGAGGAGTTCCGTGGCGGCTGGGACTGTAGTCGCGTTCGTGTTTTTGGTCTAAAGGATTGTGGATGCCGCGGGGACATGGTTCCTGGTCCAGTCTGATATTGCTGCTGCTGCTGCTGTTTCTGCAGTTGTTGCCGGTGTCGTGGTCGCTGTTCCCGGTTCTGGTGCTGGTTCTGGTTCTGGGTCTGATGCTGTTGCTGCTTCTGGCCAGGAGCGTTGACTGGTTGCTGGGCCATGGCCGGGCCGTGCATCATCTGCCAGCGCTGCTGGGCAGCAGCCTGTTGAGCACCGACGGGTGCCTGCATGGGCACACCATCCACCAAAACCGGATAAACATTGCCACCAAAGACGAGTCCGTTGCCATATATTAGCAGGCCATTGGGCGGTATTTGTGGGGCTTTCTGCTGCTGCTGCTGCTGCTGCTTCTGCTGGCTATCCACCGATTTCTGTGACCTGGACATGATTACTTTTCACTAGACGCTACTCAATTTCGATGTTCGAGTCTCTGAAAAGGTAAATGCCAAAATAATACTGTTTTGACACTTTTCACCCACAGGAAAAGCAAAGCCTAATACGATACCCCTTCCAGTCGCAGCAGAAGTGCTCATTATTTTCCACATGCCGGAGAAGGCGACATTTTGAAGAGCCAGTCTCGTAGCCAGGGTAGACGAGCTTTTGTTTATGGCACTGGCAGTCAAAGGATCTCACGCCTTATCAGCACGTACACTCCACATTATATGCACAGACTTGCAGATACTTGCAAATCCACACAGGCAGACAGCAGACAGCAGACAGCATGCTGCTGCTGGTGGCATTTTTAATTAAAGTGAGTGAAGGACTTGAAGTAGGCTGCCTAGACGATGCCAGAGAGCACAGAACAAAGGACATGTAGCCCAAGTGCGAACGGGACCAGTGCCATGCTAATCGCGATAAAAGTGTTCGCGCTGTCATATCCGAAGTCACATTCAAGTAGGCACAAAGTTGGGCTGGGCTGGGCTCAACAATTGCTGAGGAATTTATCGCCTGAATAATCTTTCTTCAGCCCTAAAAAAAAATGGAATAAGTCAATTAATTAAAAAATGGTTAAATTTTCGTGGAAATTGTTGGTCATAATTCGAGTGAATTTCCCTGAACAGAAAACTTCTATGAGTTCTTGTATCCAAAAGCAACCCTTTCAGTAATGGGTGAATGAAGTGTACCAAGACTTCTGTGTCATACCCAACAGCTACCCGGAACATTCAGTACATTTTGAAACTCCAGCAATACAAAATTCAGTTCGGCTACAAAAAAAAAAAAACCCCAGACGGAGACGCTCCCGAATATTTCCCCTTAAACCCAGCACGTTAGTAGGAAAACGTCATAGAGAGAAGTTTTCGTTTGACACGTAGAAACTCTGTGTCGCCCACAGGCAATGGGCAACATGGCCGACATCGACTACGAGCCTTTCAATCCATTTAACGTCGGTCCGCCCAACAGCGGCAAGCGGATGGAGTTCAAAATTCCCACCAGCCCCACATATCCACCACCGGTGTTTGCCGTTATACAACAGGACAAGCAGGGGTACATCAAGCGGTCCGTCTCGCAGGAGTCGGGGTCGGCGCCGGCAGTGCAGAAGGCGGAGACAGCCTCCCACCTAAAAATTGGCCAATCCAAAACCGGGGAAGTGGCTGTATCGAAGGCCATCAATGAGGAGATGGCCACTGCAAAGCAGCAGGCTGCTGCCCTGGATGAAGAGGGTCGCTTCGATGCGGGTGGCATCTCAAAGATGCGGCTGCCCTCCTCCAAGTCCAGCATCGACTCAAAATCGAGGGTCCAGTCGAAAGTGTCTGTCCGGACGCTGTTGCCGGTGAAGTCGCGGCGACAGGCCAGCGGCGACGGCCAGGCCGAAAAGAGATCGACATCAGAGTCCAGTGTCAGCACAAAGGCGAGCAAGGTGTCTAGGGGAAGTACCCGCACTCGGGTGAGCACAAGCTCCAGCACCAAGTCCCGGTCGAGTTCCGCCGCCAAGCGGAGCAAAAAGTCACAGTCGAGCATCATCTCTAAGCGTTCCCAGTCGAGCACTCGATCCAAGTCGAGCACCGCTTCGTCCAAGGCGTCGCTGGGAAAATCCCTGGGAAGAGCTTCCAATAAACTGAATCCACAATCGACCACAGCCTCGACCATCACACTAACGTCCGAGGTGCTCAAAAGAGATTCAAAGATAAAGTCAGTCAAGGCTTCAAGCTCTAAGGAGGAGTCAAAGGTTTCTCTTAAGTCAAAGACTGGCAAAAAGTCTTCAGATACTCGCGCTTCCAAGACTATTGGGAAACCAACCTCAGAAACCATATCCCAACATTCGGTGCAGTCCAAGACCAAAGTATCTACTCGCTCTGCCTTCAAGACAAAGAAGGACGATTCGACTGCCGCTCTCAAGTCGAGAGCCGCTTCATCAAAGTCCTCGTTGAAGGCCAAAACTAAGTCTGTCAACAAGATGAAGACTGTAAAGGCCTTGGCTGATGGAACATCTTTGATCCATCAGGCCGCTGAGATCTCCGAACGCCTCAAGGCAGGCAATGAGGACAATTTCAGACGCTTCAGTTCAGTGATTCACAACCACTCAAGGACGGTGCCCGAGAAGCTGTTCCGCGAGGATCGCATGTCTTTCTGGTTCCAGGATGCTGTGCTCTCCTAGGGAATGGCTTGCACCTCCGTAAACTTCCCCAATGCTCCACAATAGTTCATTCCCAATTAATTGCGATTTATTTAAGCGAAGCAATACACATAAATACATACAAATTAGCCGTATAAAGGTACTATGGGGTGGGAGCTGCTTTATTTAATGGGGTTTGACCTGGCCCAACATAACCTGATTTGCGGTTCAACATTTTTTTGCAGACATTCAGAGTCATTAATTTAAATGCGCTAAAAATGTGTGGTCATTCGCACGCTCCGAATGCTCTGGCCCATAAAATATGCAAAAAGATGTGCTTAAATTGTAAAAAAGTATACAACACAAACAAATTTAATATGGTTAGAAAATAGGCGACTCTAAAACGAAATTTGTTTAAACATCGAATCAAGACAGAGAGTAAAAATGCCTGGATCGTTATTTAAAATTGCATTTAAAATTGTAAAATTATTATAAATCACTTTAAAATAAGAATTTAAAATACTATCAAAGGTTCAGTTACCATTATAGCTTGGAATAGGGTTTTTAACTTACAAATAAAATAGGAAAAAAACGAAATACTGTTACCGCAGTTATCTTAACCTTTGCTTGAAAATTAAAAAAAAAAAGTAATAATTTGATTTATTGTAAAATCTAAAAAATTACATTACATTTTGAATTATTTAATTAACATCCGAAAGAGTACAGACTGTTGAGCTAACGCTTCCGTTTCCGCTGATGACAAACACCCGGGTGACCGTTTTGTTTGGGGTATTGTGGTTAGTTTTATTTTATTTATTGCAGTGCAGAATGCTAATTTGCAGCTACCATGAAAGCAGCAGCAAAAACGATGGTTAGTTGCTGGCCTAATCAGCGTCAACATTTGGCCAAGAACAAAATTGTAGGGTGGGGGTCTAGCACTGGGACATGGGGCTGTAACAATTATAACAAATGTTTGTGGCTTTCATTTAATTGCATGTCAATTTGTAAGCCACTGGCCCGAGCACTCTCGGGCGTAAGTAGGCCACAATAAATGAGGCGAGTTGGCAGAATATTTATATGGAAATACAGGGATTTTTATGCGCGTACTTGTACAATAAGGGAAACAACTGCAATAATGGCCGCACGGCGCATAAAGTACCAGAAATAATAGCAACAAACAACTCTGCTAAAGTGCAAAAACCAGCAACAGCAACAGCGGCAGCAGCAGCAGCAGCAGCAGCAGCGGCAAAGGGCTTCGAAATGAAACAAACGTTGAGAGAAAAATATATTTAATACGAAAAGTTTTGCAATAACGGAAATGAAATGGAAATGGACGCGCGCCAATAGACATAAATGCGAGTGTGTGTATCTGTGAGTGGGTCACTGTGTGCACGAGGTGCAGCCGCTGCCGCCGCCGCCGCCAAACAGGATACAAATAGGACACGGCACCAGGAGCCGCCTCCACAATCTCAATGCAGGCCGTGTAAAACAAAAGAACCATCATATACAATGCAAAAAACACAACCAGCGAAAACCAACACAGATCTCAAAAGTAAAACTAACAAACAATATCCGCAAAAAGCAATTGCACAAAGGCAAAAATGGCACCACCGCACCATTCACCGCACCGCCATCATCCAGGCCATAAAATATTAAAAACTATAGAAATATGCACAAGGTGGTGGAGGTACACGCTTACCTAAGCTATTCGAATGGTTATGAATGGGTGGAAACTGAGCAATTAGTTGGGAAATTGTTAGTGGAAGTCTCTTCAGAAATTCTGAAAACTTTATCTAAATATGCGAATCAAATATACAATATTTGAGGATGGGCTCAGGCAATGTTCAGGTTATTTGGAAAGCAGAGTTGATTTAAAACGGAATTTTCCAAGATATTTCCAATGAATATCTAACCGGTGTTTTCGGCTTACATGAAAATCAAAAGTTGCAATCAATTTTATGTCTTATATATTATGAGGCTCTTGGTACCTGCTTTTATTCTGCTTCTGTTTCTTTTAAATATTCGACTAGAATTAAATCGTTTCTTATAGGCTAGACATTACTTTACTAACTTTCCTTTACTGTATCATTACTGGTTTGATACAGTATGGTTGCAATATTGTTGTACAATGTATTGGCAATGTTTACAAATTAATTTTGAAGCATGGCCTGGAGTTTTATATAAGTTTTATAGAAAACTAACACAATGTTTACATTGGCCTGATGTAGTTGTACTCCACTTCCATTTTGGTCATGTCGCGCTTTATTCGCTCCCACAATCCCGGTGACGGAGTAGTTTCAGTGGTTAATATAGACTTGCTTACTTGATTTTCGACTATTGAGGATTTGTCATCTTGATCAAGAGCGAGGATTAGGAACTTTTCCTCTTCCCGCTTCGTCGCCTTCATGTGTTGATTGTTTGAATTTGATAACATATCTGTATTTGGCTTGATCTTTCCCAGGTGAATGAAGAATATGAACACCAGGACTACAATTATTAAGGCGGAGAAAATATACTTCTTGTTTTGTAGGTTCTTTAGTGATAAGATCTTATTGATCTTAATTTTTTCTAAATTAAGCATTTTTGGGTTTTCTCTTCTCAAACTTGCCCTGCTCGTGTTGTTCAGAATGAAAATTTATCACAGCAAAAGCATCGACTGCTTTGTAAAAAAATTATGTTCATATAAAAGATTTGTTGGGGAAATTTATAACAAAAATTTTCAGGGACCGTAAATAAATAAAAACACAAGGGAACAAGGGTTTTGTTGATTAAGAACAGAATGTTGTTTTTAAGGTAATCGGGGACGCTGAATAAAACCCTGTACTTGATCCTATTAGATCGAGTTTTCGCGATATACCGTTATATCCAGAATTAAGGCACTTCCCCTACATATAGTGGACTAACTTGAAAACCGTTAACCGTATTCAGATAAAAAAAAATCCAAAACTCGCCAACAATACTGTCTTTAAGCCGTGCCTACATTGGTCTTGAATTTTCCCAACAGATTCAGTATTGAAAAAAAAACACACATAAATACCGAAAACAAAAATATTTTCTTGTTTAAAAATGAATGGCGTTAACCCGTATCAGACGTGGAGGCCAAATAAATCTTTCAACTAATCACGGTTGAAAGTAACTTAATATAAAAACAAATGAATAAAAAAAAAATACCCACAAAAGTAAAAGTTTTGGACTAAAATCATTTAGTTAAACATACTTTAAATGAGATAAAATTTATTTCATTCCAATCGGTAATCCAAAAAGAAAGTTATAAGTATTATAATGTACATGTTACTAATCAAAAAATTTTCTTTTATAAGATTTTCTTAAATGAATGAAAGCTACATTAATATGATTTTACATAAAGCCAATAAAAGCACAATTGCCACAATCCCAGACAATAAACTTGACAACAACAAGAAATGTAATTTTTGTTTCTTATCTTTTTTATTTAAACAACTATTACTAATCAACGTGTTGATTGAAAACTGATTAAAGTTTTGAACTAATTTGAGGTCGCTGATTTCAAATATGATCTCAATTTGTTCCATCAGATCGCATTTTTAAGTTACAGGTACTAAAAGTATTTTTGATTTTTTTTCCAAAAATTTCAAGTTCAAAGAGTGATAACTTTACTCCTCATCGGGCGATTTCGAACCTAGTTATTTTTTCTTAATAATGTAACTGTAAGCTTTGCAAAACAATTACATTTTTTGTAAATCGCTGAATGAGGATAATACTATTAATACCTGTAACATGTTGTACAAGTTGTCATACATTTAGCAGCCTTCCCAAGCTTGTAATTATTCATTTTTATTAAAAATTCCTTTATATGTATAAGTTAAATCAAAGTTTTTCCATGGCAACCGTTTTCTCTCAGTGATTCTGTAAGTTTTGCAAAATACATTCGTGCAGATGATCAAACAAAACCCCACTAATTAATTGCTGCCCTTGCACTGTCCAGGGTTTGCCGGCACTGAATCAACACTCTCTTACAAAACACACTTCAATCTGTCGCAATGCAGATATTAGCAAACACACACACACACACACGGCAGAGCCTCGAATGCCCCCTCGAAGCCGCCTTGGTGCATGTCTTTTTGTGCAGGGCACACACTGCGTATGCGTAATAAAATTGAATTAACGCAATTTGTGGCACATTGCCGCCCACAGGCAAATGTGTGGGCTATCCGGTAAATAATGTTCCCTGAGCATTTATTGTCCATAAATGAAAACATAAATTTTGCGGCAAGTTCCTGACACAAACTGCCGACAGCCTTGTCAAGCTGTCTGCTGATTTACCTTTGCAATTATTATTAGTTCCATTTGGTTGATGGAAACTTCATATTGACATGCATCTTACGACAAAAGGCGTAATATAATATCCAAATATACATATACATATGTACATACATATATGAGTATAACAAATATAATTGTTCATTTTCTGTTTATTTGACAGGCTCAAAGGAAAGTGTTCTGTGTGTAGCCTCTCCATAGCCGTGTGCCTCGAAGCCATTTGACAGATGGAAATATGTTGGTCTACCTTAATTAACAGTGTGAAGTGCTGTGAATTGAATTTAATTTGTTGAAACCGAATATGGCAAATGTTATTTGCTTTAGTCGAATTATGTCTGCCTCAGGGCGAGCGCACCAATCAATCAAGAACTTTGAGACATTCCGAGGGAATCTTAGAATGGGTTCCTAATTGATGTCAGATCAGAATTCAAACGAATAAAAATGTACTGCAATTCTATTGACAAAGAGATGCCCAGTGCATACTCTGTAGAGGGTATATACGATTAATGAAGCCAGTAGTCCATGCCTACAGTATGTGTTTGCTGGTACCGTGTACAATAACCTCGATTTCGTTGTTTGTCGTCCCAAATAATGACTGGCTGATTTCGATAAGCCCCAGGGAGACACGTTGCATAATTTCGCCATAAAATTCACTTAAATTCATTAAATTTAATTTAAAAATACTACATTTTTGCAACTTTTCCACTGTGTTTTCCCTTTTTTTCTATCCACGTTTTCAATTAAGTCTAAATGCAGTTGATTAACAAATTCAATTTTCACCCAGCGGCCGAGTCTGCGGTTGAGCGGGAATTTTCGCCAATGCAGCGACTTGCATAATTATCAGCGAGGCATTAAAACATTTACATTATCTGCAGCATTGTTGG